GAGAAGAGAGAGAAAGAGAGAGAGAGAGGAGAGAGAGAGAGAGAGAGAGAGAGAGAGAGAGAGAGAGAGGGAGAGAGAGAAGAGAGAGAGAAGAGAAGAGAGAGAGCGAAAAAAAAGAGATAGAGAGGAGAGAGAGAGAGAGAGAGAGAGAGAGAGAGAGAAAGAGAGGAGAGAGAGAGAGAGAGAGAGAGAGAGAGAGAGAGAGAGAGAGAGAGAGATAGAAGAGCGAGAGAGAGAGAGAGAGAGAGAGAGAGAGAGAGAGAGAGAGAGAGAGAGAGAGAAAGACAGAGAGAGAGAGAAGAGAAGAGAGAGAGAGAGGTTGGTGAGCGCGGATGAGAACGCATACTAATGGGTTGCTCATAGATAGATACGATAGAATAGATAGATAGAATAGATAAGTATAGATAGATAGATAGATAAGATAGGATAGATAGGATAGAGAGATAGATAGTATAGAATAGATATATAGATAGATAGATAATTAGATAGATATGATAGATAGATAAGATAGATCAGATAAGATAGATAGATAGATAGATAGATAGATAGATAGATAGATAGAACTAGATAGATAGATAGAAGAGAGATGATAGGATAGATAGATAGATAGATAGATAGATAGATAAGATAGATATGATAAGATAGATAGATAGATAGATAGATAGATAGATAGATAGATAGATAGATAGATATATAGATAGATAGATAGATAGATAGATAGATAGATAGATTAAGATAGAATTAGATAGATAGGATAGATAGAGATGATAGATAGATAGATAAGATAGGATAGATATGATAGATAGATAGATAGATAGAATTAAAGATAGATAGATAGATTAGATAGTAGATAAATGCATAAATAAATAAATAAATAGATATAGATAGATAGATAGCATGATAGATAGATAGATTAGATAGATTAGATTAAGATAGATAGATAGATAAGTGAGGACTACGATAGAAGATAGATAGATAGATAGAGATAGGGTAGATAGAATAGGCAGATAGGACAGATAGATAGATAGATCATAAATAAGATAGGATAGTATAAGGAGAGTCGACGCACCAGCTGCGGGCGCGGCCGCCTGGATGGAAGCCAGCGCTCCGGATCAGAGCTTGCCACCGCTGCCAGCCTCCAGCCCGTCGTCATGGCGACTACGATAATACATTCCCAGTGTAAAACAGCCGCGCACGCAAAAGGTCAGTGATGCTTTCATCGCGACGTATATCTGCTGTCTATGCGCCAGTGTCGTTCACATCCGCCTCAACATCAACACCAATCGACAGCGACACAGCTATGCTCTCCTCCGCTCCTTCTCCCGTCCCCAGCGCCCATGCCTCATTCTTCGCCACTCTCCCTGTTCCCAGGCCTTCTCCCTTCCGCCTTAACTCATCGTCTCTCACACTCGTCCCTTTCCGCTTTCTCTCTCGCGTCTCTTTCACTCAGCATTTTTCTCTCTCACTCTCCCTCGCTTTCCTTTCTTACTTCCCTTCTTATCTCTCCCCCTTCTCTCTCACCCTCTCTCCCCACTCCCTCATTCCTCTTCTATCCGCTTCTCCCGGCGTGAGCGGCGGTAGTTGTAAAGAAGTCATGCATGAGTGGGTCCGTGTCAGCATCCCTCGAGCTAGGCTTCCCCAGGGGGATGTACCACGGCTGGCGGAACGTGTGTCGCATTAAATAATCATTTTCGCTTCTGGCCTCGGCAATCATGTTACGGCGTTAATTGTAAACGCTGTCCGCTTTACGTGACTGAGGTTGTTAGCCTCACACCAGCCTGTTCATATCGTAACCCATTTTCCACACACAGCTATACCGCGTCGCGTCGATAATTAAGCTAATTGTGAGGGAAGTTCCCTGATCAAGGGCACAGAATTAATGACCGAGTTAGGTATCGAACCCCAGGCCCCGCAATTCTAGTCGATCGCTAGGTCGGCAGTTCTCGCTCTATATGGCGTATTGTGTGTATATGAGTACGGCGTGCATTACACACACACGCGCGCTCACACACACACCCACACGCACGCCCCTCACATACACACGCCCACACGCAC